TCAGCGCGTTGATTTTGCTCTCGAGGTCCTTTATTTTCTCGTCCTCGTCTGTATCAGATCTTGGACGATTCCTGAGAGGAATAACGGGGCCACTCCCATTATTGTCATCTTTGGTGGGACCACCCCTAGTATTGTTGTCTTCGGTGGGAACACCCCCAGTGTTCTGGTCAAAGGGAGGGTTCTCAGCATTGAGACGTTCATCCACCTCTGAATCGTTATGTGCTTGGTTAGCAAGGTTGCGACGGCTGGATTCACCGAATTGATTGGACAAGACCCGAATTTGTTGATCATGCTCTTCCCTCATCCGCATCATGGCCATTTTCATTTCGAACTTGAAGTTCTCTTTTTGTTTGGCCAAGGCATCCTCAACCATTTTGGCCACTTCCTCGGTGTTAATCATAAACACTTCGCGGGATTGACCTGGGCTGGATACCGTTTTGTCAGAAGCGACTGCAGAGTCGGCATCTGATGTTTCATCATCCGAGGATAATCCTTGATTCATCCTCTGATAGTCCCTTTGTCTAACGGTTCCTGACCGTAACCGAGTTATACGTTGGGATATGTCCGAAAAATGACGAGGACTGAAGCTTCGCGTTGACTTCCCCTTATCAACCATATTAACTGTGACTTCTGGAAGTTCGTCATCTTGCGCAGCTGGTCTTTTTCTATAGAAACACCTTGGCTTGGTCCTGGGTGTTCTGGTGGAGATCCTTTCAAATACCGAGACCCTCTGTGAAGCGGTCTTGGGGTAGCTACACACTGATAATACTACCCTGATAATTTTGGTACACGGATAGTGAGAGTCCGCTTTCTGGGTACCTCTCTTTCGAGATTTATTCGTACCCCTAGCCTGATAGTATAACTCATCGACGTTGCGGTCAGAGTAACCTACCGGCTGTTTACATGAATTCTCAGGTATAACGTGTTCGTCTGCTTGACGCATTTTCTTCTGAGTAAACAATGCCTTGTTGGTGTCTGCAGGAGTCACTCGTTTGGAATCACACTTTTCTAAGGGTAAAACCTTAACGGGCTCCTAGCCTTCTGTACGCACCCCCAATCGAGCGGTTATAGGAATCAACTTGTTTGGAGGTCGCGTACGACCCATAGTCTGGATGCTCGCTCGGGGTTCCTTCAACGGTCCCAATCGTTCCTTAACAGACGCTTTGCCTCGATCTTCGGGTAGAGAACCGAGGAGATGCTTCAATGGAATTTTGTATTTAGAGAGATCCACGCTGTCGTAGGGCCTCACCGGAGGTACGGGAGCAATAGGAGCGGGATCTGAAGAGGGCCTCACCGGAGGTACGGGAGCAATAGGAGCGGGATCTGAAGTTGACGAAGGCTGGAGAGCAGCCTCGGATCTGGAATCGAATGAGAGACACGACTGGTGTCTCTTGGGTAGAGGCATTATTTTTACCTTCGACACCCAAACCTGCTTAGATCTTGGTGGTTTTTTGACCACCTCTTCCCGCTGTAATTCTCGTATCTTACGCATAAGGATCTGGGCATGCGCAAGAAGTGCACGGCGCTTCTGGATGCGCTCCTCGAGAGTCGAATGTGTTCGTTTGATCCGAACCCATTTGTAAATTCGAGGTTGGGAGGAGGATCCCGATGCTTGTTGTGGTGATAACTTAGCCACTTGGCGCTTTCTAAACTTCAAATCCGCTTGGTAACGGAGTCTGTCTACCTGATCCAAAGCCTTGGTGAATTGGCGCGCGAGGCGTTGGCGTTGCCTTTGACGTGCTCTCTTTGATAAAATTAGCGGGCCTTCAGCAGCCGACTCCTTGATCGAGGAGGAGTTCAAATCTGCAGATTCGGCTTCATTGGACGCCGATGGATTATTGCAAGGTGCAATTGTAGCAGCGGTAGTGGGGAGATCAACTTCTTGGGTCTTCAGATCTGAAGACCGACGGATCTTCCGGGAGGAGGAGACCTTCATGCACTTATGAGCCGAGGTAGATCTGGAGGAGGAGGAGGAGATGTACTCCTCAAATTTTTGTTGGTCGAACTCGTATTCGACCTCTTCAGCCACGGGGATCTTGATTATTGGCTGCGGCATGACAGCTTCGGCAGCGAAGCTGTTGGCTCCCACTTTGGTCGCCAGCTTGTTTGAGGTAAAAGTTGATATCTTCATTGCTGAATCTATTACACATTTATCGATTACAGATTCAAAGTAAAATTAGTCTTTTTATAAGACTTTCTTACACAATGAAAATAAAAAAATACAACTCTCGTCAAACAGCACAGAGATCGTTTATCGGTCTTCTGCTTACGTGGGATCTTGGCCTGTGACGGGGACGTTGATATCCGTTGACCACCAAATGATCAGATCAGATCCGAAGCTTCGTCGATTCACGAAGGAATCAAGAAGCCGAAGCGCTTATCTCGGCAACAACGAGATAATTTCTCTTCTTAAGATCACCGCAACGGGGTAATCTTAAGGGACGAAACGGGTTGCAGATCTGACAAACTCCTCTTCTTTATGACGAAGAATCCGTTAAAGTCTCCTCCTCTTCTCTGAAATTCGTGGCTTTTTAGTCCTCAATCCGACAGGGCTTCGCCAACGCTCGAGAATTCCAGCTCCGAAAAAATGAGGGCCTTAGGGCTGTATTTATAGGCTCCGGGGAATCCAGGCGATTAAAACCACATAACAATAAAAAAAACCACTTTTTAGGGCCTCAGGACACCCTCGGGCGTCTCAGCGCCGATACACCCTTGGGTGTCTCGGCCATCTCAGCGCTGATACACCCACACCCTTGGGTGTCTCGGCCAAATCGAGACACCTTGGGGTGTCTCGGTTGGGCCGAGACACCTCGGGGTGTCTTAGCTTAGGTTGAGACAACTCGTTTTGCGCGCTTGTCCGTTTTCGTCGTAACTTCTTCATCCGAACTCGGATTTGAGTGATTCAAAGTGCGTTGGAAACCCGGCGAGGAGATCTACAAGCTCCGATGATTGTATCATTGTGCAGTAAACTAGGACATGAGGGGCGCTTCGCCTTTTGTAAGCGACATGGGGCTCCCGATCAGTTCGTATCCTCGTTATTCTGAAACTCCGTTGCTTCACATAGTTCGTCGATTCACTTCAAACGTTAATCGACATCAATCAAGCTTCTGTAACTCGAATAGCAATGTTCATCGTCTTCTCTCTGTCTCGACCCGTGTGCGGGGACCTATATGCAAATTTTAACGCCTACAGGAGCTAGTAAAACTATCAGAAGGGAAGAGAGCAGTTGGATGCAAGTGGGTCTTCACTAAGAAGCAGAATCCAGATGGATAGGTTGAACGCTACAAGGCTTGTCTAGTGGAAAAAGGGTACAGTCAGACATATGGCATCGACTATGATGAGACTTTTGCATCAGTGACGAAGATGAGCACTGTTCGGACCTTGATCTCTTTGGCAGTAAATGGTGGATGGAAGCTACACCAACTAGATGTGAAGAATGCATTTATTCATGGAGATCTAGTGGAAGAGGTATACATGGAGATACCAACAGGATTTGACACAAATAAGACAGTGGGCAAGGACTGCAGATTGAAGAAGTCTCTCTATGGGCTGAAGCAGTCTCCTTATGCTTGGTTCGACAGATTCAGGAGGGCTATGATAGGTATGGGGTATCAGTAGATTAACGCCGATCATACTGTGTTCTTTCGACGGAGTGGAGACCACATTACCAAGCTTGCGGTATATGTGGATAATATGATTATTACAGGAGATCATGAGAAGGAGATTACCCAACTCAAAGTGAGATAGGATAAGGAATTCGAGGTGAAAGATCTTGTCTTGCTTCGATACTTTCTTGGAATAGAAATAGCTTGAGGAGAAGAGGGGATTGTCCTCTCCCAAAGGAAGTATGCGCTGGATCTTCTCAAAGAGACAGGGATGTTAGGGGTGCAAACCTGCAACTACACCGATAGACCAGAAGTTCAATCTGGGTGCTGAGGCTGGAGAACTAGTTGATTGTGACAGATACCAGAGGCTGGTGGGTAGGTTGATCTATTTGAGTAACACACGTCCCGATATCTCTTTTGCAGTGAGCGTGGTGAGCCGTTACATGCATGATCCGAGGAAGGGTCATATGGACGCAGTGTACCAGATTCTGAGGTATTTGAAGAGTGCCCTCGGAAAAAGGGCTGATATTTAGGAAGAATGAACATGTGAGCATTAAGGGTTACTGTGACTCTGATTGGGCTAGCTGTGCTGAAGACAGAAGGTCCACATCGGGATACTGCATCTTTATAGGAGGCAACTTGGTCTCGTGGAAGAACAAGAAGCAGTCAGTGGTGGGGAGATCAATAGCTGAGGCAGAGTATAGAGCTATGACCTTGAGAGTTGCGGAGTTGTTGTGGCTGAAAAGTATGCTGGTGGAGCTGAAGCTGGATCAAGGAGCCAAGATGAAGCTGTGGTGTGATAACAAGTCAGCCATCAGTATCGCCAACAACCCAGTACAGCATGATAGAACCAAATATATCGAGATCGATAGGTTTTTCATCAAAGAGAAGTTGGACAGTGGACTACTGGAGTTAAGTCATGTTCCAATTAAGGACCAGGCAGCAGACTGTCTGACTAAGGGACTTAGCTCAGTAGATATGATTAGAGGATGCGACAAGATGAGCTTAGTGGATATCTTTCACCCATCTTGAGGAGGAGTGTTGACATATTAATAATATGTAGGGGGTTATTTGTATGTTTGTGTTTATAGGGGCCTATATAAGCCAAAAAGATTTCAGTAATGAAACAAGGCTTTTCAATTCAATAATTACTCATCAAAAAGATGAAAATGTTATTGGGCTAAACCTCCTCCCTCATCTGGAAAAAAGGAATAAGCACATGTTAAATACGCTAGTTTGTTTTATATAATCTGGTAAAAAGGGAATAGGCACATGTTAAATACGCTAGTTTGTTTTATATCACCTGGTATAGAACAGACGTGGCTAGAATTGCCTTAATATTTCATACCATAATATATATGTGCAAAGTATATATAAACTCTTGTAATAAATAAATGAAATCAAATGTTTTCACTCCACTCATCTCTTCTTGGTTCACATTTACATTATCAAGTCCCGGTTAACAATCAATCAACAAATATGGTTAGCACAAACACCCAAATATCATTTACACCCCCCTTACACCAATATACACACACTAAACAACTAAATACAAATACATGAAACCACTAAAAACACCACCTCACTATGATCTCAAATCAATTATTTCAGAAAGAAACTCATCAACCAAATCATTAAGAATCGCCAGCTCCACCTTCTTCCCTGTAACATGAATATCTTCATCCAATATCGTGCACCACGTATCGGTTCTCACATCGTTAGCTGCCATTTCATCTGCTGAATTTGATTCATTCAAGTCTCGCTTTTCATAGATTTGTATCTGCCTCCACAAATCATCCAGGAGGTTTTTCGGACATGGTAACAATTTTAAGAACATAGCGTTTGATTTTGGCATCATCACCCTGGGCAATGCTTCATTCATTAGATCGAACAACAATTTGTGACTTATATTAGTAATGCCTTCAGAAAGGGAAGATCCTATTTCATCCGTCTTCTCTTGTTGTACATAAGCTTCCTCAACTTCATCAAACACCCAATTAGGAATTGGCTCTTTAAAGACTTCACTCTCATAGAGACCAGCAGTTATGAGGATATCTCTTATGTAAGCTTGTGCATGCCCTTGGACTACAACTGCTTCACTGGAACGAGATTCTTGAACTGTTACTTCTTCAAGTCCACTACATTCAACATGCTGTAGAAGATTTTTTGGATCTATGACAGGAGAAAATAATGAAAGAATTTAAATGATATTCTTTAAGCAAGAATACCAATTGCAGGAATATCCAACTTCAACAAAGAAAAACAGCGAGTTTGTCGTAGGTGACTAGTTAGTAGAAGTGCTGTATTCAATCCAAAAGTTTGTTCGACATAATGTTAAGTTGTTTACACTAGTCAAAAGAATACTAGGTCTGATGAAGAATTTGATCATATTCAAAATGAAATTAGTGAAACAGGCAGAGTTGAAGCTACTACAACAGGAATACTATATATATATATATATATTATATATATAATATAGAGAGAGAGAGAGAGAGATGAGCTTATGTCAACTTAAGTGGATAGCAAGCCTTGGTCCCACCAAACTTTTATATCCACTTTTATAATATATATATATATATATATATATATATATATATATATAATATATATATATATACTATATATATATAAGTCTCTTCATATCTTCATGGATGAGGACATCATGGGTAAGAAAGTAGGCTGGTAGTCCGCTTAGTTGAACATAAGAATTTCCTCTCTCTCCTTCTCTCTCTCTCTCTCTCTCTATATATATATATATATAACTATATATATATTTATATATATATATATATAATATATATATAACTGGATCACTATAGCCCTTGATATATTTATATGTGGGACAAGTAGCGAAACCAGATTTCCACTTAATGGTAATGTCTCTTCACATATATATATATATATATATATATATATATATTATATATATAATAACATATATATTATAATTATATTAATAGTATATAGGGAAAAGTGAATCTAAGGTGACACCCTAAGCTCCCACCTAAGGACGCAGCCTAAAATCACATCATTCCCTAATTGTTTTTTGCGATCCACTCCGTTGAACTTGAGCTACACGTTCTTAGACCCAAACACATCAATTTTGGGATGAGCCCGTCGTGTTTTAACCCTTTGTTGAGCCGTGCAAAAAGTTATATTCATTCGAAACCGTTAAAATTATGGCGAATGGATGAATGGTCAAAACACGACGGGTTCATCCCAAAATTAATGTGTTTGGGTCTAAGAACATAGTAGCAAAACCAGATTTCCACTTATATGTGAATGTCTCTTCACAATTTTACCCATCTTTACGTTTGCAGCACTCTAAGTTATATAGATAACGCGTATCAACGTATCGTGTCATACTTGCGGAAAATGATACACAAATACAAGTGTAAATTTTAACAATCAAAAGGACATGGATACAGCGAACGTGTGGAGTATTTTCTTTTTTCACTCATTGTGTATTTCTATGGGAGAAAGAATCAGCCCAACACCCAATTTTCTCGATTCTTTTGTCAGTTCAGGTTCCATTAAAGGCAAACATCCATATATGGTTGGAGAAAAACAACTAACTTCTGGATCTCATACTATCCAATTACAAAATATAGTCGACAACAACAACAATCTACATTTATGTCTTTCTTTCTTTGTACATATATTATTTATTATTAATAAAATTTATGCATGAGTTTCTTTTACCTCCAAGAAATAAAAGAAAAAACTCAAATTGTTCATACCAGGAAGTATCGAGCTTCCATCTGTGGAAACTTTAACTGTTGATTGGTCTTCAATAAAAGGTGCCTGTAATGGGGAGACAGGACTTGGAACACCCGGACGAAAGAATTCATCAAAGGAGCTGCTCGAGACTGATGCAGGGCTTGGCGGCACCTCTGTAGAATTTTCCTAACATCACAAATAAAATATAAAATAATAATAATAATAATAATAATAAATATCATACTCATATTGTTCATTTTTTGCCTATAAAGAAGCACAGCGCAATGTTTAAGTATTTACCTGTACGCTGCCGACTCTCAGAACTACAGAAGGCACAGTAACAAGGAAATTCGAAGAACCAAATTCATTTGCATCTGATTCATCTATTGAATGTGTCTTCTTCCCGAAAAATTTTCCTCTAAGAGTGAAATTCTGCCTCAAATTTGATACAGTGCCTTTGAGGTTGAATCCCTCTTTTTTTCTTTTCCTTGATTCTGATGAAGAATTTTCAGATGCTTCATGCTTGCTATGAATTCGGGTTCGACCTTGTGCATGCTGATCCTGTAAAAGAAGTTTCCCGAAAGATACTGGAGCTGAAAAAGATCTGACCAATTTTCTTGGAGACTTGGTCTCAGCATCAAATACTGCATCTTTCTGCTCACTTCTAATAGCTATTGATTTTGTAGGAGGTTTCTTCGCTCCCCATTGGCATGATTCATTCCCGAATTCAGAAAAATCATGCATCGATTGTGATTTCACATAGGTTTCATTTCTTAAAACATTCTTCAGTCTCTCTGACAAGAGCTTTCTTGTGTTTCTATTGATGAAATCTGGCTCACATCTATATGATCTTGTTGACTCTGAGCGTATCAATGATGAGCCAAGGTCCCTAGTGACACTTTCTCTGATTTGTTTTGCTATATGCCGTGCAAATTGTTTTGTGTTTTGTGATCTCTCACTGAAAGATGTCTCATTAGTAAACCCTCGTGGCCCGGTATCAATTCTTGCCTTGCCAATGATTTCAGACTTGAGCCTTTCTTTCACCTCTTCAAGAAAATCTTGCATGTTGGCTTCCTTCTCTAATAACTCAGGCGAACATGATAAGGAGCCTTCAGCATCGTCACTCATTTCTACACTAGGTCTTAAAATCACTATCTTTGTTGCTGAAGAATAACCGTCTTTATTCATGTAGTTCGGGAATATGTTTGGGTGATCTACTGAAGCATAACCCTTAGGTTCGACAAGCTTCTTGTATCGAGACATCTTTTCTTTGTTGAGACTTGCTTGTGCAATTATTTGATTAGCTTTTTCCTGTGGAAGATAACTATCTTCTTCAATAGTTTTTGAGTGTTCCCATACCTTGGAAGTTTGCCATGCTTGGAAATCCTTCTTGAATTTTTGCAATAACTCTTCTTGAGGGTGTTCTCGTGGTTTCGTAGATTGGACCCATTTTTTCTTAATACTATAGGGCAATGAATCTTGTTCTATTTTCCTAATTGAGGCTGATCTCAATTTGCTCGCGTCTTTTCTAGGTACATGGAGTCCAGGTTTCTCATCCTTTTGTTGATATGCAAGAACTGCAGGCTTTGTTTCTGAAGGAAAAGCATCCATGCCCATCAAACGGGCAACAACGCTTGGAGAACTGTGTTTGTTGTTCATTCTCTTTGACATTTCCTCATCGATCAACCTTTTTATTGGGGTGTCATTTGAACGATAGCTCATTTTGGAGGACTGCTTCTTTACTTGGCAGGAGTACTGTCATTAATATGGAAGATACTAGTTACAGGAGCTATTTAACTATAACAAGTATAAAAGAAATCAACAAAGAATAGAGTAAATTTGCTTTTGAAAGACTTCATTGATAAAATCATTCGAATAGAACCAATGTGGTGAGATAGTGACGATAAAAAGGATGTAGAAGGTGGGTGTAACTGACAACAAAAACACTAGTCAATATGGTGAATGGTAGTTAAAGACGGCGAGTTGCAGAAATAAAATTAATGGAGGCCACTAGTAACATATAAAACACAATGGTATATAACAACAAAAGAATATTCTGGAAGAATACTACGAAGAGCTAAGAACCAGTATGTGCTATTCTACTTCATAGTGTTTGTAAATGACTGTCAAATCTTTTCTTTCTTCCTTTTTTTCAGAATAAAAAATGACTGTCAACTTATCTCAAATAATGACTGTTAATTCAAATCCCTGGCTGAATGTGCCTATCTGGAAGAACTATTTATATTGACTTCCACAGTTAGTATATTGGAATCTATCTGAAAAAGATGATTTTCTTCATATTTAGGCTGACTTAATCTTTGCATGCTTGAAACATGTGGGTATTGTGCCAACTACATACATAACAATATAATTTGACCAGGCAAGTCGAATTTTAATGAAATCTTTATTGCACAAGAAAAACAACAAGGAGACCCTTACTTCTTTTGAGGTAAAACAATGGTTAAAGTTACAACAAAAACTTCCAATTGATCCCAAATGAATAAGCACACATAAGCGTTGAAACAAAAATTATAGAGGAATGACAAGATAAAGATTTACCAATAGCATACAAGATCCAAACAATAAGTATACAACCAAAAGTTACAGAGAAAAAAAAAGCTAAAACAGACACCTACAAGATACAAGTACCCCTAATCGTAGAATTTGGGTAGAATGTCTTGTACTTACTAATGACTTCTACTATAATGATCTAGTATACAACTACTGAGGAATCTAAACAGGAATAATCAAACAGATGATCGATGTGTGATATCAAAGAGATAAAATTAAATTACTCACCGGGATGTCCTCCTGAACGACACTATAATTGTATGATGTTTCTTTGGAGAACTCCAAACTATTCCTAGGTGCTTCTTGACCTGAAAACGTTTCCAAATGTTCACATATCTTACCTCTTTTTTGGGAGGGGAAATATAGTACATAAGCATTAAAAGATACAATACTTACCATCACCTTGCCTTTTTTGAGCTACAACTTTCCTGGATGAATTGGCTTGATTTAAGTCAAAAAAGTGTAATATACTCCCCATGGGACTCAATCAATATAAGCCAATAATGAGACCAAAGCTTTATCCCAATAACATTTGATTATACTCGCCAACATCCACCACTAACAAAGGCAAACAGTTATACATTAACCTGCGAGACCAAAACAACATTAATAATTAAATACTAGATTAAAATCCCATGTCCCTCATAACGATCACAAAATCTAGTATAAAAAGTCAGCAAAAAAGATTACAGACTATTGTCATATTTTAGCTTCTGATGAAGTGCTTGTTGATCTCTATGGGGAATTTAACAAAAAAGGAATTCCAATCGTATAGAAGCTCGAAGGACAGATGAAATTTAGTTCAACTATTGTTTAAGGTAAGGGGAGTGATTCTACATCCAAATACCACTATCTATCATCAAAGTCTTAGTAATTTAAAGTTTTGGATCCAAATTTTAGCGCCAAC